AGTACGAGAGTCCAACAAATAAAAAAATATACCTACATGTACTCTAATGGTAGGATCAAAAGATCTATTGGTTACTCAATTAAATTCTAGATTTTATTAGCAAATAATATACATCAAATCAATTACTCATAAGTAAATTCTAAGATACTCTATGCCGGTCTTGATCAGAAAGAAAGATTATCAACCAACAAAACACAACCATTCGAATTCGAACGCGGAAAAAGTAAAAATTCAAAATATCCAGCATAGACCATAAATCGTGCGGAGAGTAATACTACCTATAGTAATGTGTACGGATGTTACAGTAAAAAATCTATTCTTTATATTATTTGAATGTATAGCTCCTAGCAGCTACTGCTATGCAACCGCAAAATGCAGATACCTAAGTATAGTTGTATACAAAAATAACCGAAGTCGACTCGTAATCTAATGAAATTAAAGTGTTAGTCCGGGACTCGAATTCAGGCATAGCATAATAGAATAGAAAGCGTCGAGCCAAACTGTGCCATCTCTCAAAATCAAAATTAACATGTATGTGAATTTTATGATTCACAAGTTAGTAGCATTTTCTTGAATAAGTCGCTTTTAAGATAAGTATTATTTGTCACTTTTTAAAAGTTTGAAGTCGGTTCAATTTTTTTAAAGTTTCTTTTTATTAATAGTAAATATAAATTCGGGCAACAATTTTTAATCGACACGAAGCGAAGCCCAAAACAAGATTAAATACTAAAAAGTATTAAAACAATCTCTTAAAATAATAAGTATTTTTTGATAACTTTATAAAAAACACTTCTCGGAGCAGCCTGTGATAATACTCAAATGAAATAACAACATTATGGGTATGTACAACTCACTGATAAAAAGAACATTCACATTATAAACCTGCAAGATTGCATGTTGCGAAATAGAGAAGATCCGTTTTGTTTTGCCATTGGCTGTTTCATTATGAAACTTACATCCTTTGCGATTAATTAGCTTGCTCCTTTATTTCACTAACCTGTGCTGTTTTTATTTCAAATTTTGGTCCGCGTATAATCAAAGCATATCATTAATAAAACTTAAGTTCTTGCGTAACGTGCTTATTTTAAATAAAACACTAATGAAAGACTTCAACAATGTATATCCAAAGAACTCTATGTAGTTTGGAAAATGTAAATTTTCTCATAGACAGTAAGTAGTTACCTATTCGTTAAACTATTATAAATTTATAGCTAGATCGTGATCTAGAACTAGACCTTGATGGTAATGTCTTGAATCCCCTCTCGTACAATTGCTTTGTGTCGCAATACAGTCTATATTGCAAACTTCTACCTATAGACAAGGTATATAAATATTTTACCGTCCTACTGGTATGCATTACTTCTGTGTTCTTTCATTAATCATTGTATTAATGAATTAGTAGTCATAATTATGAAGGTTTAGCGTTAAGAGTAAATTTACACTGAGACTGTACTTGGTATTGGTCAAAATTCACATTATTAGACAGAGACTTAGCAAAGGTTAACCTAGCACGAGGTTTTACGGGAGTAGGTAATATTTACTCCTAGAAGGTAGTAGGTTTGCTTATTCTACGTTTAATGTGAATTTGTATTAGTCCAAATTGCAATTTTCCGTAAATTTACTTTGACGCTAAACCTTGTTTATTAATAGCTCTGTTAGAGAATTAAATACTCTAAGGTTAGCCTAATAAATACTCACCCACCTGCCGGTATTTGGTCACTGGTCAGTTTTGACATTTCGACAATATTACCTATACCTATATTTGAAAAAGGCTAAGTTGATGGATACAAAATTTCTAAAAGTCCTACCAAATCTAAATAATGTCAATTAATTGGTCTGGTTTTACAGGATTGAATAAAGGACAGGATAAATCATAAATCACTCGAAATCAGTTTAGTAACCTTTTTTCAATATAGGTTCTACAATAAATAAATATAGCTCGAAAATAATATCCCATTATTTAAATTAGTAAGTAGGAAAATATAAGCCTAGACAAGAAATCGGCGGTGGTGCATTGCGAAAGATTTATTGATCGACCTCACCCGTGCAATGATAAAAAGTATCTACACATAAAAACTTAAAAAAAATTGAACCGACTCCAAATTAAAAAAAAAAAGATAATTAATAATATTCTTGAATAAGTCACTTTTGAGATAAATATTATTTATTACTTTTTTAAAGTTGGGAGTTGGTTGGATTTATCCATTTATTTGATGTTTTTCGGGATAAAGTATAACCTATGTTTACTGTACATGATGGCTCCCCGTAGGTGAAAGAATTTTTGAAATCAGTCGAGTAATCGTTACAAGCAAACAAACAATCAAATCTTTCATCTTTATAATTTTAGTATAGATATAGAACGATATAAATAATAATACATAAAGTAGATTTTGTTTATTTACTTGACAATTTTTTTTTCTAATAATTCTATACTCATATTTAATATAAAAAGGAAAGACTGGATTGTTTGTTTGTTTGCATTAGATAGGCTCCGAAACTATTAAACCGATTTATAAGTCTTTCATCTACCAAGGTCCAAATACGCTTGGGACATAGACTATAATTTTGGACATAGAAACAGCTAGTTTAATAGAAATTAGTTAACAATTCAAGAAAAAATATACATCCTCCTTGAGCATAGAAAATCCTTTTGGATTCTGAATAAATTCAAAATACCCAATCTTTTGTTTTTTAGCTGAAATACAATACATATCATCTACATATTACGGTGAAAACAGTATTTTGTTTTGTCATAAAAGGAAAACTTCCGATTCAATTTCGATAAAATTTAAATGGAACCACCTCGGTTCATCGAGCTGTCAAAGAATTTTAAAAATCGGTCAACAACTTCTTTTGGATTTTGAAGTCTGTTAAAAATACAACAAATTTACTGAGGTATGCAATAACAAACGCGGACATCTAAATTAAATTTATTAAATTCAGAAACCAGTGTTTTATTAACATGTTATCTGGTAATGTCGCAATAGAGATTTTAATTTTTTATCTTATTTATAGTTTTAATGAAATTCAAATAAAACACGCACAGAAGGTATGCAGAAGTCAACGTTTTCGACGTTATTTCAGGCCGGAAAGATGAATTATATGCAGATCTGACTCATACATAACGTCTCCCAGCGAACATTGATTTTGTCACTCACCCGTTAGTCGGACTTCCTCTCTGATACGCCGATGATTCAATAACAAACTAACGTCATATTATATCAGTGACAAGTGTATCTACACGTAATAAAGTAGCCGTTGTAAATTCCTCATAGAAAATTCTTATAATAAGTTTTCTAATAAACAAGGAACAGGCTGGCAAAACGTCAATATATTATAATGACATCTGGTTCCTTGAAATTATATATTATGCCAATAGAACCTATATGTACCTTTTTAATGAAATAAATCACAAAGATATAGTATCTGATAATTTATCTTTAATATTTTATCCATTATAGCTCAAACTGAGTCAAACTTCCGATATATTAAATTCTAATGAAAATTCATGCGTTTGAATAATATCGTTTTATTTACCCACTTTGTCATAGAACGATTAACCAGCAATGAATCACCTTAACTTGACACGCAAAAGTGTTATTATAAGTATTTCATTGAAGAAGGTGACTAATTTTATAAGCACGTGAAGTCATTAAAATTTTATATGACAAACTTGTAAAACAATATCCATAACGAGCTAACAGAAACAAACCGTATATTTTCCAATTGGAAAGTAGAAATATAGAATGTGTTCTTTACTCTTGTTAGCGAAGTATTATTTATGGAGTACCTATATCAGTTGCTATTGTTTACAAAAATAATAGTATATTTATCAATGTTAAACATGTTCAAAAGTTATGTAAAGAAATTAAATGGAATCATATCACCACATTCACTTGAGTTATTCTTGAAGATGTAATTATTATATTATATTCTAGTCTATTCATTATTCCGTAACGAAAATTTCGTACTTAGGACTTTTAATTTATTAAATAGTAGTATGGGAATTAATATACATAATTTCATTAAAATTTTAAGAACTGACAATTTATATGTTTCTTTGTTTTTGTATTTATTAATAAACAATTGCTATTGTTTCTGCACAATTATTACTAGGTACTGTAGCAATTTGTTATCACACAACATTGTATTGTAGTGTTAGTTAAAAACAAACAGAACTGTTTTCGTTTTCACTATGTACCATGGATATGACATCTATGACTCAGCATATATTTCAATGGAATAAAAGAAACTCGTTATGTTTATCTGAGTATTTAACGTATCTAATTGAGATAGTAAAAACAAACTTTGTTATAAAATTGACTTATTGGAAATATCTTTAGATAGTAATACACGGTATATTGTTTATTAAGTAACTGAAGATAACGCAGTATTTACATTTAATCTTATCAATAGTAAAGCATAATGTTGTGAATAGTTTTTTTTTACCAGAAGTAGATAATTTTATTCAAAGCTGTTTTCAGCAATTATTACTAAGTTTAACGATAATGAATACGACAAAAAAATTACCTAAAAAATTTAATAAAATAGGCATAACCGTCACCATAAATTATCGTGTGAATTTTGTTTTAACTTCGTATTATGTTCTTGAAAGTTAAAATTATTCATAGCGTGTCGCGTTGCTATTCATTTTTGTCTCCCACGATGATGTGATGTTGTCATTTCACCTAATAAATAGCAATCCACTTGTGTTATAATTTCATTACGTTTGTACATTTTATTATGAATTGGGTAATTTGTAACACTTTCACTAATGCTTCGCTACCTTCATTTGAAATTGTCGTAGTAATACCTATACTTTTTTACTAATTGTCAAATTTAATAACAGATTATTGTTATCGCAAAATTTGTTAACTTTACTTAGCAATTACTCTTCTTATCGTTCGGAATACTCGCACAGATGTAAACACCGGCTTGCGTCAGTGTCTATTCAATATTTTCGGTTAATTTAACACATATTTTAATCTAAACACACTTACTTGTTAAATGTTTCCTCATATTGTTTTATTTCCTTCCTGGAGAACTCGTGAAACTCCGTGTACACATTTACGAATTTATATTTAGGTTTGACCTCGAGTCCCTCCTCTAGTTTATCGTTGATTTCTTGTCTCCTAGAAAGGATCCCGGTTAATTCTTCTGTAGCCGCCATGCCAGTGATTCGCGCCAAAAAAAAGGTCGGATATGCCTATTTGAGAATGGTACAAATGACGCGAGCTAACACGATCGCTCACGAAGGAGTACTAGTTGTGACGACAATCCAGTCAGTGCCTTCGCACTCCGCGCGCGCTCCCTCGCGGCGGGCGGCTGTTGCCTCTCGTAATCAAGTTGCGGGGGACGCTGAATCGACGCAAATACGTGCCGCGCACTCCGCACCGGGGCAAGCCTATCCAAATCAAACTTAAAAAACCAGCCAACTGCGAGTTGGACTCTTGCACGAAGGGCTCCACACCGCATCATCTATACTATAATATTATAAAGTTGAAGAGTTTGTTTGTTTGAACGCGCTAATCTCAGGAACTACTGGTTCGAATTGAAAAATTCTTTTTGTTTTGAATAGACCATTTATCGAGGAAGGCTTTAGGCTATAAAACATCACGCTGCAACTATTAGGAGCGAAGAAATAATGGAAAACGCGGACGAAGTCGCTGGCGGCCACTAGTTATCTATAAAAACGTCGAGTCATGTTTATTGGAAACTCCTTAAATATTTATTTTATTGTTTTTGTAGGTATTTGTTGTTATAGCAGCAACAGAAATACTTTTATCATCTGTGAAAATTTTAACTGTTTCTATCACGGTTCATGAAATACAACTTGGTGACCGATGAACAGACAGGCGGACAGCGGAATTTTAATGATAGAGTCCCGTTTTACCCTTTTGGTTCGGAACTGTGAAAATGTGCTTGATGGTCCAACGAAAAAAACCTTGACGAAAACAATAAAAAGTCTTATAAAACGAAATAAAAATAGCACTTAGATACCTAACGTTTTCGCTTTATAGAGAGCTTTTATAAAACAGTAGTTGCGACTACAGCCCTGGATAAACGTGCAGTTGCTTGGGAAAAAGCTTACAAATATTGTAAGTTAAATTAAATATAGGTCCTACTTCATAATTTCAATGATATACCTATATGGCGCAACCGGCCTACAACAATTACTCTCTAAGCCCCCATGCCTACCCTCAACCTACGACATTTCAGGAAAATTTTCAAATGTTTTCATCAATAGTCTAATGTCTGAATAAATGTTATAAAAGTAATAATAAAAATTTCTTCTAATGTAAGAATGTAGTATATGTCTAAAACACACCATTCAAAACTTACCTAAATAATGAAATGCTGACTAAAAAAATAAACAATATAACTACGCCTACTATAGTACGCCCACATGTTAAAGTGAGCAACTTGCAGACAGAACCGTGAAAAGATTAGGTATTACAATTAGAAGCACAGTCAACAAACAACACATCGAGTTACCCAAAACCGTTATATTTCTTCCGTCGTATTCACTTAAATAAATGATCTCGTAATGTATTAGTCCTATAAAAGCAAGGAAAATAGTAATTTTATGAATTACCATGAGACATAGCCCCTCAGGTGGCTATGCTATTAATCCTCGAACGAAAATTTCGAATTATTCCTATAATTTTTAAACAACTTCAAAATCGAAAAGGTATATAAAGTATGATTATATCACAGATACTTTATATCATATTACTTTATATCACCGATATTTTCGTCAATTCTTGATCTATTTTCGAAATTCTTTTTTTAATCGATAGCTTGATGGATCGAGGTGGTCGACCATTTAAATTTTACCGTAATCGAAAAAGTAGTTTTCCTTTTATAACAAAACATAATACGCTTTTCAACAGTTATCTCCTAAATATTAAGATTACGTAGGTATGTTTAAGTTATGACATGGTTTAACTAAAAAACAAAAGATATTTTCTATGGTCAACGAGTATGTATACTTTACTCTTTGATGTATTTTGTTTTATATAAGTCATAGATAATAGGTATCAACAAGTATAGCTATATTCCTCGATTTCTTAAACAATTTCTATCAAACTAGCTGTTTCTCCGCGACTTAGCCTGCACAAATTAAAACCTATGTCCGCAGCGTATTATGTAGCTTACCGTAGAATGATGAAAGACTTTTACAAATCGGTCCAATAGTTTTGGGGCCTATCCAAAGCAAATAAACAAGCAATCAAATCTTTCCTCTCTAAAATATGAATATAGATTATTGGAAAAAATTATGTCTAGCATATAAACATCATAAAGAGTCTACAGTTAATAATTATACACAAAATGAGGGTGTAGTGCTTTACTATAAAAATGTGAATAATTTTAGGGCGGAGGAACCTATATTAAACGTTGCTAATTTTCTTAAATTGCATGTCAACAATGACACAATTTTTAATAGCTGCATATTTATAGACCTTACGAATATAGGAATTAAACCAATTTTTTCAATTCATTCGACATGTTACTGAGCAAATAAAAAAAAAATAGGAATATAATAACCATCGTTGATATAAACATTGACATTAAACTATACAACACTGATATCCACTAATTTAGATTTGTTGGCAATACATCGCATGTAACCAGGACATACCATACCTACACATAGTAAAACTTGTCTAGATCACATTATTTTGAAAACAAGACATAAGACTCACTGATTTAAAAGCTAGATATAAGTACTATATATTCTATAAAAGTCGTTAATGTCGCCACCTCGCTTCTCTTATCTTCAGTTAATACATTAATTGCAAAAAACACTTCAAGTAGGTATTATAACACCAAACCCGAAACGCATACTAAAATGGATTACTCCAGGGCTTCTTAAATGTATTGAATATCGTGATCTATTAAATAAAAAATCCAAAAGAATTCCTAATAATAAAGAAATAATAAAAATATTGAAAAGCCTCAGGAGACAATACGAAAGATACCAATTACTCTTAGCTGCCAAAATAAGTAACAAAAAGTTTGGGAAACAGTAAAAAATGTATCTAACTGGAACAAATCAAAAAAGTTCCAAATATAACGTAAAGTTCCATAAAGTTCCATTCTGTGCTTTAGAGGCACGTCTTATATCCTATGCATCATAAATTATCGAAAAACGCGTTTCCTTGGAATCGCATTATCATTTCGTAAATAGTTCTTTCGTAGGAGTAGTACGAGTACCTACCTATTGTACATAAGTATGTGTGTACGTGTGAGAAACTAAACTTTGATACAGCTATTGGATTTGTTTTCTAAAATAAAATAAATCCTGATAGGCTCAATTCGATGTATTTTTTTTCTGTTTGTTACCTCATAATTTTTATTGGGTGAACTGATTTTGATGTTTCTTTATTTATTTGAAAGCTAGTGCTTGCCGTGTGGTACCATTTAGATCTGGCAATGACATCTATGAGCAAACCATATAAGTCTTAAATTTGCATTAAGTATGCGTGATGTTTATTACCCCAATACTCAAAATTTCACTAAAATGCATGAAAATTTTAAAACACACTAATACCCGATACAATATAGAAAAGTTAATTTTCTACATTGACCTGACTAGGGCCCCCGTTATGGAAACACCTTGAAACCGGTGTGCGAGCTAGTCGGTGACGGAATTTCAACCGTATATCAGATGGACCAAAATATATAATAAGTTTTGTCTTCTTAAAATATTTATCTATCTTTAACTTCCAAAAAATAGATACCAACGCAAAAGGAACGTGGATTATTAGTCTTATGACAAAATGATTAGCAATTTTGAGGTAGGTAAGTAATTTAATATTTTTTATAAGTCACAATGTCAATGTCAAAAAGTCATTCATATTAATTCAAGGGTTGGGTTAATTCTGCGTATTAGCAGCCAGTTTAATTTAATAATATTTTAACATAATGTCAATACACCCCTTTTTACGTAATTCACTTTGTCCTATGGGACTGCTAATTACTACATTCGTAACCAAGCCCAATAATCCGTCAGAGTATTTCGAGAACTGTCCTCGCGCAGTCCGTCCCTGGCCAACATGAGGCAACACTCGAGGTATAAATCAAATAAAAATATAATCTATAGTAAAGAAAATTAAACTCACTTTCTTATGTTCTCTTTTTTTAATTTTTAACTTTTAATAATGAATTTATTCAAATTTAGTGGTGTAATTATATTTTTCTGTGTTGAACAAGATCTAACAGCATCGGTAAAGATAACGATTTGGAGCGAAATGAAGAAAAACAAAATAAATTAGATGTCCCGAATAAATTAAATAGAAAAAAACGCAATGGCATCAAAGAATATTTAATAGATTACACAGCCAACTCAAATTTACATGGCCTGAAATATATAGGAGAAAAAGAACGTACCCCCGTGGAAAAGTAGGTCTTCGTTCGTTTTTTAAACATTTTTTGCTGTGAAATTTTAGCTTTATCGAAGAAAAAGTTTTTATTTTATTTGTACTCCATATTGTAATATTAATGTACTCGTATCACCATTGCAGAATATTTTGGCTTTTTATGTTTATTTGCTGCGTAATTTTGTGCGCTAGTCTCATCAGAAAAGTTTGGATAAAATGGAATGAAAGTCCAGTCATCGTGAGCTTCGCTGAAAATACGACACCAGTTTGGCAGGTATAAAAATTATCAAAATTTTTAGCGAGAGTAAAACTCCATTGTTTCATTAAAAGGCAAACTGAAAATGAGGGATTTCTTTGAGACTTTATTAAGTGTTTTTATTTTTTTAGATTCCGTACCCAGCTGTGACTTTATGCTTCGAAACGAAATCTATGCAAACAAAATTCAATTTTACTGCAAATTATCACTTATATAATAGCACAATAACACGACCAAATATGCCACCTGAAGAGTGAGTAATAATTAATTTGATTAGTTAGTAATAATTTACATTAATTCTTTCCGACTTTATGGCTTCAATGTTTTATTATACTCTTCCAAATAATTATTAATCGACAAATAAAAACATTATAGCAATAATTAATGTTTAAATTGGTTCATAAATGTTCTTTATCGATACCACAGATAATATATCTACTACTTATAGACGACAAGGCAAAAGTTTATAGTTATGCTTTAGCTAAGTTTTGGAAATTTTCAAAATATGCAAATAATCAACCAGCTGCGAATTAGACGCTAACACATGCAAAGGATTATATACTACTGGACAATGTTCACATTATCCATTATTAATTTTCGTTGTGATAGTTTAATTGACACATACTTTGTGAAATTCCAAGTATTTATCAACGGTAACAAAATACAAGCCGATTCCAACCACAGAACAATGTATTGTTCTGTGTACCTAGCTAATATCCAATTTAAACTTAGTGCCCATAGGTCTAGCCCGATTATTCATTTAAAGTGACATAATGAATATGTTTTTGTATATCTTGTATGGTTTAAAAGAGGTCTGTAGAAGCTCTTGATAATCACGCGTAGTATGTCTTCATTTTCACGTTTAATACAGTTCTGTATCAAGGTTATGTTATCATCTGTTGGCTACTGGAAAATAAGTATAAAAGGTAAAAATTTCTAAAATCATAATAATTTTTGTTTAACAGTCGGAAAATGTTCGAAGATTTGACTTTGGTTTGCGATGACTACTTGGCATCTGCTGCTGGGAGAAAATTCTCTAACGCTAGTGAAACAGTGAATAATATAAAATCGGTAAACACTTAAAAAATTTTATAGTATATAAAATACAGGCAGCTGTGCCTCAGTTTAACACTAGCGCGTGTTACTAGTAAATTATTATTATTATACAACCACACAATTATTCTGTTAACTTACTTTTATATTAAATATTTATTAATTACAGGTTTCGCCAAATATAACTGAAGTATTTTTTGGTTGCAAATGGAAAGATATACCAAAAGAAACATGTGAAAATCTCTTTGCACCAATATTGACCGAAGAAGGTCTCTGCTACACTTTCAACATGTTATCCGCTGAAGAATTATTTAGAGTAGAAAAGTGAGCAAAGATTATCATTTATTTTTAAATTATTAATAATATGTTGTTAGCTCTTACTAATTTCAAGTTAATAACAATTTATCTGTGTAAAAACATTAGGCGCATTGGGGCAGTCATTAAGACATGTTTTAACGACATTATCAATCACTTCCAAAAACTGATTATTATAAAATATATATCTTGCAGCATTAAGACAATAATATGTACACACCAAGTTCTTTCTTTGTTTACAAAGTTGTCCCTATGGCATTTGAGCAAACAATTTATTATATACGCGTAAAGAAGGCTAAATTCAATTTCGCAACATTTTAGCTTACATGATGACTATCCATATTTAGAACGAGGTCTATCTAGACCAGATAACTTGACTACCTTTTGGAATTTAGAAAATGGATACCCACCCGAAGCTCCGATAGAGACATACCCTCATCGAGGTTCGGTAAGTTTGTTTTCAAATAATTATTAATGATTAAAAAATTATGTCCGATTACCTTAATAAAATAATTGTCTGATTACCTCAAAACATTTGTCAAAAATTTCGCGACAAACCATAGCTATTTTCTTTTTCAAATGTCTTTTGAACTTAATAATAAAGTCAAATAATAACTGACATATAAATTACGACATATAATTGGTTTTAATTAATCTTTGAAAGGCAAAATAAACGGAATTTTTGTAATAGATTATATTTTTTCCAAGACAATTAATCCTTTAGCATAAAATACAACAACTTATATTTAATTCTAGGGATATGGTGCAAAAGCTGGGTTAACGTTTCTAATGAAGACTAAAGAAATTAATCTAGATTACTTGTGTAAAGGTCCCGTTCAAGGTTTCAAGGTACAATAGGCATTCACTTTCCTACTTTTTTACTTAGTTTTATATTAACTTTCGAATAAAATAGTCAAGTAATTTAGTCGTCAACATAATTATCCCAAACATAAAGTTAAAGAACTTCACGTAGCTAAATATGCTTTGTTTAATAAAAAATATATTTTAAATATTGTTTAACCAATCACTGTCTGAATAAACCCTGTGTCAGAAGTTTTCTATTTGAGCAACATATTTAATTGTTTAGCACCGATCCACCGTTGTGTACACTTATAGGCATACCGCAATTCTTAATTCACTAGTAGTAACCGGTAGTCTCACTTTCATGGTGTATTGAGATCTCTAGGCTGATGATAAAAATGCTACGACTGACAAGGCTAGTTTAGGCTACACTCCCGGTCAGCGTAGCTCCCGCGCAAATATCGTTTTCATCCCTGCGTTCAAATCTTGGTTGTGCCTCTATGGGACAGAAAAAAATATCGGGGCTAGCTCTCTTAAACATACTAAGGATAAAGATATGCACCCGAACGAAATAATTTGTTTTCGCAAAAAAAAAAAGCATTAGTTTAAATTTGAAATTGAAGAATTTACCTATTCTAAGTATATTAAGCTGTATATATCCTGTTTTAATACTTGCACATGACCGATTTTTGGGTGGCTGTGCCCACGACCTTTCTTTGAGGGCTGGATCCGCGCCTGATTTGAGTTGCGTCATAACAGTGTCGGAAGGCGCCATCTGCGCCCTTGATGTTCATAAACCCGTTTGTTTGAATATGTACTAATAACAACATTTCTTCAGATTCTGCTCCATAATCCAGCAGAATTACCTAGACTATCTCAACAATATTTCCGTTCACCTTTGTCTCAAGAAGTTGTTGTAGCTGTGAAACCTAAAATGATGACTACTTCAGATGGTCTCAAGCCATATTCACCCGACAGGTAAATATTTAGTAATTATAAAGTGTTATCAAAATACACTATGTACATCTTATTGGATACTGACTTTATTTTGTATGATGTCTGACAGAGCTGTCTTAAATATTTGATACTTAAAAATTTCAGACGTCAATGCTATTTTCCAAGTGAACGCTACCTTAAATATTTCAAAATTTACACCCAATCTAATTGCGAAATGGAATGTCTCACAAACTTCACTTACGCCAGATGTGGCTGCGTACACTTCGGTATGCCGCGTAAGTAGTTGTTTATACACTGCCTCCATCAATTAATGCTAAGTCACATTTCTTTACCTATTTCGGTAGTTACGTATTTTAGCTTAAATATTTTCTGTGCCTATAGTATAAAAATATTCCTTGACATAGTTACTTATTAGGTGGTCGACTTCGATTTACTTCGATTGTTCCCGAAACAATACAATTCGGCTGCAATTTAGACTATTTGACCGTATTTACATCTAATCTTTGTCCTATTTCAGATGGGAAGGATATGGAAGTCTGTAATACTGGTAGTGTAGCCTGTATTAAAGCATCTCAAAGTAAGCATAACTATTTCCATCCAATACTGATCTAGTAAAGGTAAAGATTTTGCCTTATTCATTTGAAAGTATAATTTTACTTCAGCTAACTTCCTTTAGTGAGTGTTTAACAGCTAAACTTCATATATCTTAATATTTATTTTCAAATATAAACGTTTAAATAATAGGTATATTCATTAAAATAATCATGGAAAAGTTTTTTTTTTATAGTTAGTATTCTGTGCGCGTCTTGGTTTGGAAGTTGCAGTTATAAATTGATAATTTGATTATTTTTCACTTGAAATAATTTTAGCCTCGTTATTTTACAATACGAGGATATGCTACCTACTCAATAGGGAATTGAACAATACTAGTCTATTACAAAACCGACAATGTGATTCGATATTTTTTAAACAATTGTTTGTCTGAGATAATTTAGTATTGTTATTTTTGTCGTCTATTGTAAGGGGTCATGTCGTAAGAGCTTATTTGGATTAAGAAAAACAATCACGACGAAGCAGTGTCGAATTAACCCATAATCAAAATATTCAGTTGTTTAATGCTTCAAATCTTAGAGGCATCTAAACTCTTCTAAAAATAAAAACAAACGACAAAGAGGACGAATTTCTACTCGATGAAGATGTTTATTTTATATTGGTAACAACGCATTTGTCGAGTAGTGTAAGAATAACAATTAATAATTTATTAATTACGATAGGATAGAATATCTACTTAAATCTCGATTTGTAGATGTGTTTTTATGTTACTTTAGTGGAACTGGTGGTAGCCGATATAGAGTATGGTCTGAACCTTGATAACAATAACGATACGCTCGGCGAGGCGCGTACGATCGCTTCGAATTGCAAATGCCTCCCTGCATGCACCTCCATCGAGTACGAAGCAGAGACTTCACAGGCTGATTATGATTGGAAAGCCATTTATCAAGCGTTCCAATATCCTGTCCCTGAAGAAGAAATTGAGTAAGTTTTTGTATTACCCCAAAAAATAATACCGTCGCTTCCAGTAGATGAAAACTTTTATAAATAGATCCAATAGTTTCGAGGCCTATCCAATGCAAACAAACAAGCAATCAAATATTTCCTCTTAAAAATATGAATATAGAGTAATGGAAAAAATATGTCGAACAAAAATCAAAATCTCCTTTTTTAAGACTTTCACGATGTTGAATATTTTTATTTACATAGATATTTCATATTTTTAGTGTTACCTACTATATAAAAATATCAGTATCTGTAAATAGTATGAAATAAAACATTTTCTTAAGTATGTCGCTTTTGAGATATGTATTATTTATCACTTTTTAAAGTTTGAAGTCGGTTCTATTTTATTTTTATGCTTGAGCCTATTATAGTGCCTCATACGCCGCGTACATAAGGTATATTTATTATTTATTATATAATAGAATATATTAGAATATAGAATATATAGAATATATTTATTTAATCAAAGTATAAACCATTGTTATCTATACACTTTTGCCATCTCATAAGTAGTTCATTGATCCTTTTACTAAAAAAAACATTTGGACGGGAATCAATAAAATCTTTGAAGGCAATTAGCATTGCCCCATCGGAGTTGAATTTTTTCCCTTGCAAGAAATTATCAAAATTTCGAAAAAAATGGTAATCTGTTGGAGCAAAGTCCGGGGAGTACGGTGGTTATCTTAGACATTTCAATTGAAGTTCTCCTAATTTGGTAGCCGTATTCTGCTACTTTCTGATTCTATTAAAAACCCTTCATTATTGTGCCGGTTAAGTAATGTAACACAGCAGTCGAAGTGCGTTTGCCGGCTTGCTTCACTCAATTCGTGAGGTACCCACCTTTCAAGCTTTTTCATTTTTCCAATTTGCTTCAAGTGGATTAAAACAGTTTTATCACTAACACCGCAGCCTGCATTCTTCATTATTAACTTAGGTCACCGGCCGTCCACGGGGCTTGTTCTGCAGGTCGAAATTTCCAGAACGAAAACGTTGGAACCCAAAACGAACAGAAGAAAAAAGAAAACAAATTAATGCCTCCTAACGAAACACAAATACATATACATACATGTGCTGTATAAGTTTGAATTTGGAATTCCCAACCAAGGAAGAGAAATTTGTGCGACTACGACCAGACAAAGTGACCAATACGACAAAAAGCCATTTTTATATGTAAGGACCTATATATATAAATGATGCCAGGCCAAGATCTGCATCACTTTTGCAAATATGATTCAATTACTTTTATTTTATTTAGGGATTTTAAAAATATGTCCGTGCCATCGTAACCATCGTAGTTTACGATTTTTAACTGTATTATATTATCATGATTTTGCACTCCCCTGACACTGGCGCCGGGGCAGGTGCCCCCATTTCTTTCCCCTTGCCCTGCGATTCTGTAAAAATCCGGAACCGAATTCAAATTCGCTCATGTGTCTGAATTCACGTCATATAGTGTAGAAATTCTATTGATTGCATTTTTTGTATAAAAATACAAAACAAATTGATTGATTATACGTATCTCAGATATTCAATTCCTATGTCATTTTCAATAACAAAAATGGCTTTGCGACAAACACTTCTATTGGTTTGAGCTGCAGATATATTTGGAATTTCATATTATGTAAATATAGTAACAATAATATTAGCATAATAGATAAACTACCCACTTTCCTAATATGATGATATATAAACAGAGCCAGAGCTAGGGGTGGGCGAAACCGGGACACTTTGCTTTTGAATTCGATTTAATTTATTTCAGATATCTCCATTGTACTCACATAAAACACAAGCAGTTCGTTCGTATTTGAAGCCTAACGTTACAATTATTTATGATTTTTGTAAACCAATGTTTTGTTTTTATTTCAGTATGATGTATGCCCGCGTAATGGTTTTCTTCAAGGAGCCACAATTCATCACGTCTCGTAGATCAGAGCTGTACGGTCAGACAGACTTCTTGGCTAACTGTGGCGGTTTACTGGGTCTTTTCATGGGTTTCTCCATATTGAGTGTCGCTGAAATATTATATTTTCTTACATTACGGTGAGACGCACAAAATGTTTAAATAATTTTAAATACGTAATTATTAGTAATTATTAGTAATTTATACCTTTTGGGGTACTATGAAATTTATTTAATGCTAAGTCATATATATTTATATAGAAATTTATATGTTCACTAAGATTGCGATTAAGAGACATCGGGCATCCCAAAAAAAATGTGTAAGGTCGGCATTTATCACCGAAGTTTAACAGCAAAGGCTTTTAGTAATTATTTGCTCAAAATATTTTCGTTTTTCTTTGCAGTCTGGGATGCGTCATCTGGCGTCGTAAGACAGAAAAAATGAATAAACCTGAGAAAGCACAAAATTAAATACCTAAAGATTTTAGTGGCAAAACTTTTTACAAACTAAATTGCACATTTTATTTACCTGTACTTATTTATCTTATCTTACTTACACAGAAATGAGATGTCCTAATGTGTAATAGGTACTTATGTGTATTATGTATTCACTCAAATAATTAATAAAGATAAATTAAAATTAGCCTTTTAATCTCCAAAAATTAGCCTTTTCGTGAATGTACCACATTGGAAGATAATAATAATAATAATCCTGTTTAAGAGAGATGAATTTTTTTATTACAAGACTGTCCAATATTGAGTGTATTTATACCATAAGGATATGAATGTATATGGTATCGTTAAAAATGTTACATACCCTATAAAGTTTAAAACACGTTCCTTCCGGAACAGGCTAAGATCATAGACCATACTGCCTCGTCATTGGTTGAATTGTATTTCTTAGTATTGAAAAATGACGTTAAGTCTTCAGTTTATAAAAATGATATTAAACTTCTTCAGTATAAAAACAAAATTACAATAAAAATACGTTTCAAAAAATTTCAAAGACCCATTGAATTATTCTTTGACTTAGAACATCAACAAACAAAAGTTACTTCCCGTTTCATATTGACATCAACCAAATAATACCTATGCATTCGAGACTTCATTCTCAAAAAAATCGAAATAGGATAAAAAAGAAGAAAAAAGTGACTAAATACAACAAAGACACGTAAAAATTATCCTAAGCTATGTACACCTATATTTGCCCAATTGTGCTATCTACAAATTTAAACAAAGGTAGAAATGTGGAGGTATTTACGAGCAGATTTGAAGTAGAGCGCGGTACCCGTTCCGGACTTTTATAAATCTCAATCAGCTCATCCATTAGCACAAGGCGCTGAATGCCAAAGGATGGGCATTCAAAGAATATGTGGTCCAAAGACTGCTCTGTTTGAGTGTCACAACGATCGCAAAAGGGACTTTGTACTATATTTAGACGATAAAGATGGTATTTTAGACTACAGTGACCGAAACGAAGCCTCAGGATAGTTGTATAAAATTTCCTGTTAAAGTAAGTGTTACTTTTGCAGAACCAAGGTGTAGAATTTACAGGAACGTTAAAAGAAGCATACCATAAACCTTTGTTTTCTATTTGGACTTTAAAATTCCAATGTTTTTTCCACGAATTAGTGGATCTATTTTTTAAAAGAAAAATTATGTCATTATTTGGAACAGTTATATTAAGGCTATTGCTGGAATCAGGGATTATTGAAGAATTGGTTATAAACCTTGCCAAAAAGTCAACTTTTTCATTTCCTACCACACCAATGTGTGAAGGAACCCAAACAAATGATACTTGAATATTATCCATAATGTTCAAGTCTAACCAAAGTTGTTTAATCGAAAATATAAGATAGTTTGTGTTAGCATTGAACTTATTGTTTTTAAGATTTTCTAAAACACTCATGCTGTCACTAACTATTACCCACTTATGACATCCATTATTTTTATATTTAATATGTTTTAGACCTGCAAGAATAGCCAGAGCCTCGGCTGTAAATATGCTTGTGTTGGAATTAATTTTGTAACCTGTACCTAACTTCAATTGCTCATCAAAAATTGCAAAAGAGACTGCTGATTCTGTTTTTGAACCATCTGTATATAAGAACCGATGACCAGAAAACTCAGAAAATTTATTATAAACATCTTGCTTACAAGATAATTTATGATCAATGAAAATATTTATTGCTGGGAATTTACTCTCAAATTGTCCCTGATAACAAGGTAGCAATTCTGACTGGTGTATTTGCAAGCCATTAATATAATTTAAAAATTGGGAAAAATTCTGAAGAATGTAAAGATTCTCTGTTGAAATATGTGAATTGACCAAGTTTAAAAAAAGGTGATTATTTTTTTTTGTGTAAAGTTTTAAAATAAACTTTTCTTTCAAGTAGGAAAATCTTATATTTAATGGAGGTAATCCACATTCAACCTGTAATGAATTTATAGGTGTGCTTTTAAATGCTCCTGTTATAATTCTCATACTTTTATTTTGGATTTTTTCTAGTTTATCCACCAGTCTATTATCACCAGAAAAACAGAGAAACCCATATTCAAAATGACTGCGAATGAGAGACTTATAAAGTATTAATAATATTTTGGGATCAGCTCCCCAGGATGATCTGCATAATGATTTTAAAACATTAAATGCTTTGTTAGCCTTTGAACTTATAATTTCAACATATTTGTTCCATGACACATTGTAAGTAAATGATATTCCTAAAAACTTTGCTTCACAAGAAATGGGGATAGGGATTTTGTTATAATATACAATGGAGGCTGAGCTATGAATTTTTCCAAATATAACTAAGTTTGATTTGTGGGCATTGATATCAAGATTTAAATAAGAAAAATAATTATAAAGACCTTCTAAAGATTTATTTACAATGTTGGTAATTTCTGTTAATTTTTTTCCAGATGCATAAACTACAAGATCATCAGCAAACTGTAAATTTTTAACATGAGAACCTAGTACTAAATTAAGACGTCTTATATACAGAATAAACAATAAGGGAGACAGAATTCCTCCTTGACAAACTCCAATGGATGCACGTCTAGGACCATATAAATTATTATTATATTTGACATACACTTCCCTTTCTGTCAAAAATTTATAAATCCATTGAATTATTTTACTTGGAATTCCTAAACAAGCCAATTCAGAACAAAGCACATGAATATTTATATTATTAAAGGCACCAGAAACATCGAAAAATACAGATACCAAGAAATTCTTATTAACTAAACTATTCTGAATATCAAGATGAAGTTGGCAAATACTTTCACGAGCAGACATTCCTCTTCTAAATCCAAATTGATTTGCAGGTAGAATGTGATTTTGTTCCACAAAAAACTCAAGTCGTTGTTTTAACAACTGTTCAAAGATTTTTCCAACACAAGATGTAAGAGTGATTGGACGATATGAGTTTGGATTCAATTTGGGCTTATCTGGTTTCAAAATGGGTACTATACAATCAGACTTCCATGGATCGGGTATATCATTATTTCTCCACAAACTATTTAAAATGGATAAGAAGATTTGGAGGCTATTATCACTGAGCTTTTTGAGCATGGAATAAGGAATGCCATCCAGACCAGTTGCTGTATTCCTTCTAGAATGAATTGCAGACAACAACTCTTGAAAAGAAAAGGGTTTAATTAAATAGTTATATGAAGTATTTGAATGATCAACTATGGGAAAACTAGGTGAATTATGTACATAATCTGGGGTATATTTCTGTAAAAATTCTGGAATCCAATCATCATTATTATTATTACTGAAAGAATATGTTTTGTTAAATTTACGCATTAATTTCCAAATTCGAGACAAGGGGGTACAACGATTAAAAGAATTACACAAATCAATCCAACTATTGTTTCTCTCAGTTTTCAAGGTAAGTTTTTTTAAAGCTTGTAATCTTTTGAACTCTATATATGTTTCAGCAGAAGGATTATTTTTAAAATTAACATACGACAATTTGGATTTCTGAACTGCTTCTAAACATTTTTTGTTCCACCAGGGCAAAGCTCGTGATTTCCTAGTATTGTTACTATTTTTGATAGATGCAGAATTGCTAAGTGGAAGCGACCTTACTATAGCTAAATTAATTATTTTACAAAATGCAGAGTAAGCTTCAATTGGTGTATAATTCTCTAATTTGCAGTCTGTTAAAAGGGACTCTACATTTTGGGTATACATTTTCCAATCAACCATCTTAAAATTAGGGTGGATGGGCAAATGTATACTATTATTATGTGAATCAGAACTTTTGTTGCCTTTTTTTCTAACAAGAACTTTGATAATTACAGGGAGATGATAACTGCCAAGAGGATCATCGTGTACAGACCAATCACATGAAAGAGCTAACGACGGAGAAACTATAGATAGATCCAGAGCATTCGGACGCCAAGACATAGAACCAACTGTTGTAACCTGACCATCATTCAACAAAACAAGATTGTTATTGTCAATCACTTCTAAGACCTCTCTGCCACGAATCGAGTCCGAACCACATCCCCATGAAGTATGGTGAGCGTTAAAATCGCCACCAAAAATCATAGGCTGTGGAATAGATTTAATTAAAGTTTCAAACTTATTTTTATCGAACCTAGGAGTACATTGGAGTGGAGAATAAAAGCTTACTAAACTAAGTTCTCTATTATTTACAGTTAAACGTATGCATATATTTTGTAAAGAATTGTCATAATATGTAGTTATTTTGTTATATGTTAAGCTTTTATGGATAAGAATAGCAACACCATTATGTTTGTTACCAGAATCATTACGTTCAATGTTGTAGTATTTCATATTAAATGATTGTTCTGGCCTTAGCCATGTTTCTGATATTAAAGCTACATGAATATTTTGTTCAAATAAAAATTGTGATAGGGCAAGCCTATTGCAACCTAGGCTCTGGGCATTCCAATGAACTATATTTAAGGTATTAACCATTATTGAGTTAAGGTAGCTTTTTTGCTTAAAGTTTTATTAAATACATCTCGAATAAAACTGGAGTTAATAGGCACATTTTGGTCCTTATTAGTAATAATAATATTTGTGACAATTTCAGTTATCATATTCATAAATTTGTCTGATTTCACTAAGTTTTGAAGTTGGGTATCTATGTTTTTTGCGTGTAATTGTGGAAATGCTTGCTCCCTTAAAACATCTGAATATTTTACAGAGTGAGCCTTGATTTTATTTTCTTCGATTTTTTGTTTTTTAATGGGGCAATTATTTGAAATGGCGATATGATTCCCACTACAATTGACACACTTAGCGTTATCAGATTTAACGTTGCAAGCTTTGTAGTTGTGGTTACCAGTGCATATAGAACAGATTTCGGCATTCTTACAAAATTTGGCTATATGTCCATATTTCAAGCAGCGTAGACACTGCTTAACAGGAGGAATGAACTGACTGACCTCGTGACGCCAAGAATCTAAGTATACAAATTCTGGAAGTTGAGTGGAGGCAAATGTAACAGCTACGGTCTGCGTAGGAAGAAACCGCACCGAGCCATCATCACCTCGTACACGTCGCATAAATCGCCTCACTTGAATGACATTTCGGGAGCTGCCTATTAACGAAAAAATTTTTTTATTAGATAAGTCAGTAGGAACAGATCTTAACACCCCTGTAACTTCTGTATCGGCTGCTGGAATTGCAGCGTTAAAGTTTAGTTCGTCTAGTAATTTTTTATTTTGTAAAAAAACATTTGCGTTGTTGGATACATCAAATGTGATACCAATTTTGAATTTATTTATTGCTTTTAGGTGTAGGACACCCGAGACGCAATTTTTCCTTAGAGCATTAGATAATGCAAGTCGGTCTTTATCATTGAAGTTAAGTCCATCTTTTCGGGACAAGAAAACAATAAATTCAGATTTTTTTGAATCTTCCAAATATTTCCGGCTATATCCGGGGACTTTGAAGATATCATATTTTTTTCCTATAATATCATCATCTTCTGTATCGGACGAAGACGACAATGAAGACGATGAAACGTTTTTATCATCAGGAGGATTTTCCGGTTTACGACGTTTTTTCGCCTTCCCCATATTTATAATATGTACAACTCTCTATTTGTATAAACAGGCTAGTATTTACACACTATATTACAAAAATATACAAAATAAAAATTCGCAAATAAGAAAAGGCGCCTAAACAGCTTAACGGCTCTGGATTCAAGTCCTTTTGAGCGTACCTACATTATTATAGTATTGAGAACAATATGGCGGATGTATGACGATGATGCCATTAAAAAGTATGATTTTGTTTTTCCTATATCTAAACCAGGATATTATATTAAGGATCTGCTCACTAAAAGGACTAAGATAAAAACTTTTGGCAGTCATGTTTTTCAATTATTTAAAAAAAACATGACTGCCAAAATCGAACTAAAATAAAAGGAAGTTTGATTTTAGCAGTTCTATTTTTAATTTGAAATACCTACATGTAGGATGCAATATGCATTTTTATGATATAACGCCTTAGTTACATTCTCTATAATTTAGAAGATGTTTCGAAATTATTGCGAACTTTTGCGAATGCGAACAGGGTTGAACCTTTTGAAGATCAAAATTCGTGACATTTGTATAATCATCAGAGCGCTTAGTGTAAGTTTTTTTGACGTTTACTTTCACTGTCGATCGTGTGCGCGTTAAGATTTTAGTATGGAATCCGGTACAGCGCCCCTAGCGGTAACTACCAAGAATTACAAATCTCCATACAAATTCTTAACGCGCTCACTAGTGAACGCGTCAGCGTAAAATTTACACTTACCACTCAGAAATCGGGACGGATGGCAACTGTGAATGCGAAACGTGCGCTTGTGTAACGACGTTTTTCGCAGTTGACTGCGAAACCGTACTGAGAGACAAGGGCGAAGCTATTTCGTCACGTTAAAATTGGAGCGAGACAAAGGACATGCGAAACATTGCACTACGACTGATAAGATTTCACAAATGTTTCGCATTCGCATTGTATTAACGGCGTTCAAACATTTGACATTTGTAGAGGCGGCTTAAGGTATGGACCATCACATCACCCATGACAATAATCTAGATACGCAATACATACCAAAAATCTGAAGCTACTAAAACTATACGTTTGTCTTAGTTTTTTTCGTTTTTCACTTCAATACTCATTCAACTCCCGCCGAGAAAGTACAAAAAAAAACTCCGCAAAAACGAAGAAAAACGGTATAAAATACGATACTTTTTCACAAATACACATAATTAGTCTTCAGTGTTGCCACTGCTATTCACGTTCAATTTTTTTCCACCTATATGGGAGCCTTTTCTTTTTATTTTACGTCGCCATAATTTATCTAAATATCTTCTTTTAATTTAATCATATACCTATATTGCTCTGATTACATGATGAGTGGCTGGCTGGTGTGAACAAAAGTACCACAACACCCAGACCAGAGACCATGCAAAAAATACTGAAGTGGTTTTCCTCATTGAAAAGACTATAATTATGAGAAGAAATTGAATAAAATTTAATTTTAGAGGTCACAGAGACTAATTTTATGCACCCATAATTCAGGTCAGTTTTATTTCTAGGTCTTCTAATGTAAATGATAAAAAGGCGAAATATATTCTGTCTTTGTCTAATTTAAAGTTTAATCGTAGATATGAGGGAGACAAACATACTAAATCTATTTCTATTATATGGTATAAATGTTGGGTATGTTCCGATATACACTGCGAGCACTGCGCAGTGGTCTTACTGCTGAAAAATCCGTTCCATTATGGACTGCCAGTACACTGCTACAGTACCCTAGGGAAATTCATGACGTCATAAATTGCCGCCATATTTGTACTGTGAGCACTGGAAATTTCGAGGTAAGGTGCTCGCAGTGCTTTTGATCACGTGATCAGTCGAAACAGAATCAGAAAATGATAAGTTTCTAAATAATAAAAAAAAATACTTACGTTTATTATAAGATGGATAAATAATTTTTATATACAATTTTCCAATTTTATAATATTTTCTTTTGAAAAGAGGGAATCTTTATATTTATATTCACCTTGCATTAACAAATTTGAAAATGGCGCCAAAAAATAGGATTAACAGTATACTGGACTGCGTTCCGTTTTAAAAAGTCACCAGTATAACTAGCTATAAAGGAACGAGCTTCCAGTATACTGAATTGACGTCATACTGTTCAGTGGTCGCAGTGTATATCGGAACATACCCGTTATTTGCAAAGCTAGGTTCTGATTTTGAAAAAGTGCTTCGCTTTTTGGCGCGTTTGTTATTTGGGATTGTTTCTCTAGTTATTAAACTCATTGATCCACGACTATCCGATGCACAGCTAAAAACCACGAGCTAAAATAAGCTACGAAAATTGAAATATGCATGTTGCTAACGCTTTTATGAAACAGAGCAAAAATGAGAAAATATTTTGTTCGAATTTAAAATAATCCTTTTATTAATAATAAAGGTAATTTGCCAATTAAGTTATCTCAAAAAACTTACTTATTCGGTCTACCCAAGAACTATAAACTCCTTGGGTCCACCAATGCTGGCTGACTAAAGTTCTTTTAGTTGCTGACCAATTGATATTTCAAAAACTCCTGAATTGTGTCCTAGGAATAATATTTTGCCATTTGGAACGTTACTCTACCCTACCTACTAATACCTAGTATATTTTCGCACACCATTTTGAATATACTAGGCATTTAGGGTATTCTGGGAAGTACAGAAGAATGAAAACTAAGACATGGCACATTTTCTCTCAGAGAGACTAATTATAGCGTACTTAAATGAGCAATGAATACCGTGTAATTTGTAACATGTAGCTATAATGACTAATTTGCTGAGATACTCGAATTGTAACCATTACATATTGATTTATACATCAATCTAACTTGATAAAATAAAAACTCTGTCGTTTACGAATATTCTTTAATTTTAAACAGTGCTTGGGCCGCTAGGCTTTTTCTTAGGTGCATAGCCGATTCTGTTATGAATTTCTTCCGTTGTTTTTGTTCCCCCTGCCTGTGATTTTGGAGTGTCTTCTTGCATTTCTGATGCCACTGCAGTATTGTTAGCTTCATCTCTCCGAAAATTTTCATATTCTTGCAAATCCTCTAGTTTTAGCGTAATTTCTGTTAGAGGTCTTCTTATCATTTTAATCTGAAACAATTCAAATAAATAGGAATTATTTGCTATCTATGTAAGGGAATGCAACTTAATAGACAATTTAGCACTAGTTACATCTGCGGCACTACCTAAAACGTAGTGTTCTACCGCGTCACTAAGGCACTGGTTGATCTATCAAAATTAAACCCTAAATGATGCGTCAGGCTAACGGATCAACTATCAGCAGACCAATCAGGATTGTTTTGATCGGGCTAACGTAGTAAACCTAGGACTTCCGTTACACGGCAGAGCCGCAGGTTATTACTGCCACGTAGTACTACGACTAGCTACTGTATTTATATTGTCGACTGTACCTGGTAAACAATAAAATCTCGTCAAATAACTACTAATTCGCAGGTGCCGTATCATTATGTACAGATCAAAAAGGAAATGGCGGATTAACAGGCGTGGAAAACTTTAGGCATGTGCCTAAGGGCGCAACATTCGAACTAGTATTGAAACCACCCCACCAATCGAAGTAAGACATTTTGTTTCACATTGCATCACAACCATCGTGTTACTTACATCCACCAGGTTTAATTTGACATCCGTGCTTACATTAATCTATAGAGTTTGAAATGTGTACAATAACGTTTTATCTCTAGTTTACCGGATACACGGGAGATTCTTTCTCCCGCAAAGGATAATGAAAGTTAAAATCGTTAAAGAAAGATGTGCCGATGAGGCGCTTTCGCATGTTTAAGTACTCCGCAACTAAAAGTAGGTATAACTAATTTATTATTTTTTATTCGAGTATTTTATAACTAGTAAAATACATATACTAAATGTTTTCTGAAGTCTTATCAAATTTGTATTTACATAGTCACGAGTATTTTGAAATCTAAAGTCCAAAAAAGCAATAAAAATATATCGCACATAGAACAAATGAAAATTGAACCGATCATTACTTTAAACTAGGCTGTACGAGATATATTCCTTTGCTTTCATCTTAAGGGTTGACAGTTGGTACCACTATATCGTAATGTAGTTGAAAAGCTTCAGAAAATGAATATCGACATCGGAAAAACATGACATAATATTTTTTGTTTAACATTTAAATATTTTTATTGAGTATGGTGCCCGTGCGCAAAAGTAAATGTAACATTTTATACTTTTATAGTTAATACTTTCCTTTACAATTACAGTTTTCATATTTAGTATATAATGTTGATATTTTATGTGTAAGATTTTATTATAATTTAATTTACTTGTTATTACGTATATTTAATTATAATAATTAATAATTTCTTCAAAAAGGAGTGTATTGTATGTTTAGGATTAATGTTTTCTTTATTTCACCATAACTTTTGAAAAACTTAACGGATATAATTGTGTATGGCATCATTTAAAACATTACATCATTATTATAAAAAATAATCAATTTGGCGGATGTATGACGACATCTAACAAAATATGATAAACATTTTTATTATAGAAATATGAGTATCAATTTAAAGATCTTGATGAGTACATTAAACAGTACTTTATAGTAAGTTGTATAAGTTACATAGTACTGTTGAATGTACTCATAAAGTTACTCTTAATTGTTCATTTCAACACGAGTACCTTGGTTTATGGTTCGATTTTGGTCAAAGTCACTTTTTTTTTAAATAGACTTCTTGAAAACACATTTGAATCGTCCAATATTTTTTTCCCTACCAACTAGCAAGAAACTCATCAGCTCAAATGGGAGTAATGACATTCACAAAACCTTGTCATTACCAGATCAATACATTATAAATGTTACGAGTAATTTTAGAAGAAATCACCTACCCAGTTGATGGACCATCTTAAGTCCGAGCATTCTTATCTGTTATATAATCGGATATCTTATAATTGTCATTTTTAATAAATATTTTTTTAATAGTAGTATTAAACTGCATAATATCTAATTGCAGTATTTTGCTTGGGAACTTATAGTAGAAGCGTACACAAAGACCCCTGAATGAGTTATTAACTTTTTGCAGTCTAGTGACAGGTACCGTTAATTTATATTTTTTCTTGTATTAAAATTGTGTACATCACTTTTTATAGAACACAAACTAATATTTTTACGACCGTATGTAAGTACATTAAGTTCTCGTATATGTATTGAGAAGCAATAGTCATTATGTCTATTTCTCCCTTAGAAGGTAGGCGTGATCTAAAATTATTCACATTTAAATTCTATTATTTCATTATAGTGATAATAAATCTTGTTTTGTGAACGTTTTCTATATTTTATTATATTCAACAGTATCACAATTGAACTTACACAATAAAGACTTTGAAGTAAAACTACATAATAGCTCATACAGCTTCTTTGATACTTTTTTTCTTATTTTTTTCTTTTACCAGGGATTTTTTCTTTCCAAATGAAGCGTTTCACTAATAAGAATAACAAATGCAACGTATTCGATTTTATCAACACTCGATTTGATATCACATCGAAATCCAAAATTAAAACGGTCACCACTATTTGTGACGTGACGTGTTGATTGAGTGACGCGTTGTTATCGCCTAGCATATTTTGTGGCAGTGATTTAACCTGTTTTCATATTTCAGTTTCACAAACGCAGATTTTTACTAATTTCGTTATTAATATAAATAGGAACTTACCAAAATGTTGTATCTGGAGGATTATCTAGAAAGTAAGATTTAACCTTCCACCTTACGACGAATGACGTAACAAACTAAACTTTCTGGTAGTTGGTATAACTGATCTATCAATCAAAATAGCGCGCAATTTGATTTGCTTGAAATCTGGTTTCCTTTCAAAACGCAAATGTTTCGCCTTATTAATTGTAGCTCTGAATTTTGTAAAGGTATATAGGCTATAAATTAAGAAAGAAGAAGAAGAACTTTGTGTTCAAAAATGATAAATCTGTTTCAGTGATTGAACATTTACCACAAGAGCTAAGAGATAGATTTACAGAAATGCGAGAAATGGATTTATCAGTTCAAAGTAAGTTAATTTTTTTGTTTATATCACACGTCTTGAAGTAACACCATAATCCTGTCGCCAAAGTCAATTGTTGTCATCACAAATTCCCATAATCTGTTAATTGATCTGTGAGTTTGTTATTATTTATAGATAATATGGACACCCTCGAAAAGAGAGTTCGTACTCTTTTCGGTGGTTGCCGGAGAGGAGAAATGGGTACTGAACAAGCAAATACAGAGTTTGCTGATATAAGGCAAGGTTATAACAAAACTTTGGAAGAAGCAGACGAGAAGGTAGCTCTCGCTAATCAAATGCGGGAATTGGTTGATCGATATTTACGAAGACTAGGTAAGTATAAAATAAAGAGTATCGGAATCAAAGTTTGGCTATGAAGAATGCAAGATTTTTATCATCCAATTTCAAATAAAGGAGATATTTAGTTGCATATATGGACTGAATAAAATTTGCAATTAATTCACATCTGTTTCCATCTGTGTTACATCATTCAATATCTAATTAATTAAATTACACAAAATCTATATCTAATGATCACAGTCACAGACAGATTTACTATAATAAAAAAAATATATTACAGATACAGAACTACATAAATTTAAATGTGAACTGGAGGCTGACAACAAAGGAATAACTGAATTGTTGGAGAAGAGGTCCCTAGAGCTAGATGTCAATACAAATCACACGAGTACACCTAATAATAACCACTACAAAGAGAACAGGTAAATGTTCCTAATTTTGGGTTTCTTTCAATTTCAGTGTATAATGCTGATTGTAAATATGATTGTCCGATCATAATATGAATAATAATTGTTTATTTATATTTAGATATCGCATCCGCCCTGAAAAGCGACGAGACAGCTGGACCACAAGAGATTCTCGTACTCATAACAACACTACAACAAATTTGTCTAGAACTGATTCTGCTATTCAGGTACTAATGATATGAATGAATATTATTGTGTATGTTAGTGTCAGTTATACCTTTTTTCTTTTTCTTTTATCTACTAACTCACAATAAATGTTGGGACTAACGGTTTCCATACTATATTATGGGATTAACCACCTATTTTTAATATAGGTTGCTAACCTCCTTCAATTATTCCCTCAATATAGCAACACTTACTCTATAATTTTTTTTATATTGAATAACAGCACTTACTATTATTTGTTGATAAATAAATGTTCTGTTAATGATACAAAATTATAAGATGTATCTTATACATTGTTTTTTTACTGATTTGCTATTTGTAAGAAATAATATCCACTTATTTTATTAAAAAATATTTCATGAAATATAAGTAACATGAAATAAATATAAAGATTACTTTAATTGTATTGAAACTAACCTTTTATATTTTATTTTATGTTTGCACAGGCTGCTCTGGGTCGTGATTCTTACACTCTAGGACATGCTGGCAGCGCCATTGCTGCAGCCGCTAGTCAAGCCATTGCGGCTACTCAGCAGGTATTATTTATCTATACTTCTATACTGATATTACAAAGAGGAAAACTTTGTTTGTATGTTTGTTTAATTGTAATGAATAGGTAAAAACTACTGGACCGATTTTAAAAATTCTTTCACCATTTGAAAGCTACATTATCCACAAGTAACATAGGCTATATTATTTTGGAAAAAATAGGGTTCCGTAAGATGTTTGGGTTTTTCGGACACAAGGTGTAAAAAATCAATAAGAAAAGTCCGCGACCACTATACCTATCTATATCGAGTGAGGCACAACATTTTTGTTATTTAAAAAACTTGAATTATTTTTTACTAGTTTTAAACGCGTTTATTTTACTCATGCTATTAATCCTTATCAAAATAATTTCATCACTAAGTACAGTTTATGTAGATAATATTTGGTCTTAGAATGATTAAAATTGGACGTTTAGTGGTGAAAATTGGAAGTTGGCAATACTGAACGTATCGGTTAAGAGATATTGATACCTACTCGGTATCAAATAAAAAGTATCGATACTTCTATCAAATAGTTATAAAATATCTTACCATCGTCGTCATTTTTATGGATTTTTAAACCAGATTTAATACTATTGATAGTCAATAGCAATATATATACAATACTAGTTTACGAAAGAAGAGAAGCAGGTCCAGGCAATAAAAGTTATGATCAAAAACATATAGTTAGGTATTGCTTTAAAATTTTGTTGGCAGTATTTTTTCTTAGTAGGAATTAGTAATGCTTATTGTCATGCATACAGGGACGCCACGCCTGTGGGAATTTTTCATAAGAGACTTACACCTTACCACCGAGTAAACAGTCTTATGCACGCTAGTTTTTTGACACTCCTCAGTGAATGACCGACCAAGTACCGATACAAATACTTCACGATACTACTTGTTACTCGTTTCTAAAGTATCAATTACGAAAGTACTTGATATCGAAAGAAAAGTATCGAGTGAGTACTTGTATTTACTCGTATCGTTTCATCCCTAGGCCTGGTCTCGAGTAAATTAGTTTTCCAAATAGGTCACAGGGGCATGAAGAAGTTACGAATCACTGGTTAAGTGAGTGTTAAGGTGCATTTATACCAAACGAGCGAATGCTCATTCTATCCCCACTCTTATCAAATTCTTTTAGTGTGAACATTCTTAGAGCATTTGCTCGTTGTTCTACCTCCGTTCGCAAAGATTCCATGGAACATTCTAAGAATGCTCGTTTGCTTGGTATAAACGGCACAAGAGTGCAAACAGTTGCTTAGAGCAAGCATTCTTGCGTATTCTTTCACTCTCTCATCTGAGCGGTCTCTTCAAAGCGTTCTAGTGAATTGAGTGCACATAGCTATCGATTATATGAGAATTCGTTTAGTCTAAACGTTGTACAGAATTCTAGTTCTTGTTTCTAGAGGAATGAGAATTCTTGCTCGTTGATTATTCTTTTGGTGTGAAATCTTATAACGAATTGTCGTTTACACTAGAAGAACGAGAAATATTGCTCGTGTCGTTGCTCAAGCTCTTTGTTTGGTTTAAATGCACCTTTACAACATAATGGGTAGCATTGCTCGGTATTGTCCAGATGCAGCAGGGGCGGCGTACGGCGTCGCTGAAGGCGTCGTACGAGGCCGTCGCCGGCGGTGAACTCGCGCATCACACGCTCCACACGCCTCATCACGCACACGACCACGGTAACTGTCCCACTACCACACATCACTACATAGTATAAAACAAAGTCGCTTTCTCAGTCCCTATATCTCTATGTATGCTTGAATCTTTAAAACTACGCAACGGATTTTAATGCGGTTTTTTTTTCATAGATAGGGTGATTCAAAAAGAAGGTCTTTATGTATAATACAAGACCACGCTGGCAAAGCTGCCGGAAAGCCCCTATGTATGATTAAATCTTTAAAACTACGCAACGGATTTTAATGCGGATTTTTTTTCATAGATAAGGTGATTCAAAAAGAAGGTTTTTATGTATAATACAAGACCACGCGGGCAAAGCTGGCGGAAAGCTAGTATTACTATATAATACATTTAAGCTGACCCTACAGACGTTGTCCAATATTAATGAATATTGAATATGAATAGTTTTTTTACGTTCTATTTGACGATATTTGCAGAACGCATTATGTCAGTTCTTTTTTTTTTCAAAAAAAGAACCTGACCAACAGCGAAGTAAGAATTAGCGTAATTAGTCCAACCGTTCACTGGTGATGGCATGACCAAGGGAAATAGGGGTTATTTTAATCTAGATAGACTAGTTTACCGCCATCGTCAAAAAATACTTACGTTCCCATACAAATAAACAAAAAAAAACGCATTAAGAGTGAAGACGCGCTCGCTTCATTTTTTACCTTTTGCATCACAGCATTGTTTTAGCAAGCAAATCGATCATAATATGTTTAATTTTCGTAAAATTATTTTTATTTGGCAAATATTAGCATAGCCTTGGAATAGAATTGATTTAAAAAGTGGTAATTTCGTACAATAGTACCGGTTAAAAATATTTTTCGAGGTTGCGAAAATATGTTTTTTAGAATATCTCAAGTCCTATTGCTTGGAGGTGAATAAAGTAATAAAAATGTATTGTATTTTTCTGTAAAATTAACCGCTTTTGAAGTAGAAATCGTACAACACATATAAAATATGACACACATCTACATTTCTCAAATCCTACCAATCCCAATTGGCCATGGGGGTTATACAAAATAATAATAATCATGTTGAAAAGTCTATGTGGCACTAATCAAGGCGGTGCATGGAAGAGATTTTAGAAAATACAAACACTGACTTCTTTTATTCTTTATATATATTGTTTTATAATGTTTTATTAGCACTCTTAACAATCGGTAACTTTTTCAGGTCACAACTTGTCTTCAGGCCACACCCAAACAACTACCATTCACGGCCACCATACTACCTCACATGGTCATACCAACTCTTCATCATCAAACAAAAGACAAAAGCAAAAGTAAGTAATTATATTTATTATGTCATCTACTGAAAAACTAACTACATATTGTCTTTGAAGTTTTAACACCACATACGTCAAAAACAGTGTTACCAACTCCCAACAAAATAAAACCCTAAAACCAAACTCAAATAACCCCGAATGGTGTAATCAAAAACCCCAGAAAAAGCTTGTATTACTTAAAAATAAATCTTCAAACAATTTTATAGGTTCTACTTCGTCACTTTGGAAAATAACGTTCAGTTAAATAACTTTTTTCTATTCATTTCTTAAAAATAACAACAACGCTTTAAACGGTAGACATTTTATAATATTATGAAGCTGCTCTGCCATATAACATTTGTCCTGCGACTGAGCAAGTGAAAACAATAATTTTTGCTCATCCCATTGTTCTATAATCATGCTGATAGCTTCGAAAACCATGACACGAAATTAAAACTAAGAAAATGCAAATAGATTAGAAAATGTCATATTGAAGCCATAGAAATATGCATAGATAGCCCCCAGACATACACACGTCCAGCTAAACATTTGCTTCTATACATATAATGCACAATAGGGATGACGACTAATTTTCGTTTGTTTGTCCGTCAGGTAGAGTGTTAAAAAATATTAAACACATATTTTTTTATTTTATTCGTAATCATAAAATAACGGCGATACTAGGAATTGAAATTTCGCATGACGTCACGTTATGGTACGTTTTCTACTCAACTGTGACGTAGCGAGCCCTCACTCCTCAACTTTAATGCCTGTTATCTTAGCTATTTCTTGTTAAATTGAACTAAAATAGCCCCTAATTTTCTTGAGCCCAATTCAGTGGCGTAGCTACTAAGGGGCTAGGCGGGGCAGTGCCCCGGGGCCCTCAAGCTCAGGGGGCCCTCGAATCTTTACCAGAAAATCTCAATCGAACCATCTTTTGAAAATTTCTCCCATCCTCAAAATAAAAATGACAGGTGACAACTCGAGTTTAATCATGGAAACTCAGTTGTGAGTAATTCCAAAGTTATAATTAGGTACCCTCCTTTGCGTCGCGCTGTCGGGTAAAAAGGGAATTCCCGTAAATTATTTGTGTGGGTTGACAGTGTTATTAATGTTTTCATCAATTTGTTGGAAATCAGTATCTGCATATTATTATTTATCGATATGCGTTTTTGTGATTCGCGATTGTGAACTTCAAGTCAAGATTTTTTTTCGAGAATGGTTAAAAAGTTATTGTATCAGGAGTTTTTTGTACTGGTCCATACAAAAGTTCAATTTTATTTTATTGTAGTCCGTCAAACCGTCAAATGTAGTAACACTGACGGCGATAAAGCGTTTGCCGGGGATTCCCCAACGACGCCTTGTATCGTATCATTTTCATTCATTCACGTTTCGCTTTCCTTTTACTTGTAACGTTGTCAGTGAACAGTGAGTACCTACTTGAGTACAATCTTACATAAATATTGCATAAATAAATTAGAAAACGAATATTATGGACAAAAAAAAAAGAAACCCGGTGGTGCATTTAAACGCAAACAACGCCAAGAAAGAGGAGAAAGTAAACAAAAATTGCCCAAAATTGACAAGTTTTTTAGTCAGCCTTCTGCAAGTACTTCTGGATCAAATATTTCTATTGATAATTTTTGTAAATAGCTTGCATGGCGATAGGTTAAATAACAGTAAACTGGTGCAACGTATCTATGATTAAATAAATATATAATAAACCCTTGAACCTTTTTATTTCGTTTTATTGCCCAATACCTACACCAAGTATAAAAATAATTGTAATTTATGTTGTTAGTGTTTAATAGTTTTATTACCTGCTTATGCACGAAAAAGAGGTGATGATAAATTTATATGTATATTTAATGATTTTACTTCAAAAAAATTTTTTATTTGCCCCAGGGCCCTAGATTACCTAGCTACGCCACTGGCCCAATTAGTTTATTTTCGCCCTAAATTATAAGAATACAAATATACAATTTGTTTATTATTTCATGAGAATCATTAGCTTATAAAAAAATCTCTGAACATACATAAAAAATACATCGCCATCGAAACACCATTATCTCCTCCTTTTCGATTTGAAGTTGGTTAATAAAAATTGTAACCTTCGGGTATCACTACTTTCATTTAATGTCAAAACCGCTAGTGATATATGTGGTGTTAGAACTTCAACAACAATATCTGGTAAATAGTTATAATCATTAGATAAAAATTTCCTAAAGTTCCGCATTCTAGTTTCATAAAATTATTAATTCTTCAATGTAATAAATACACAGTAATGTAATAAATATCAATTTTGATGACTCAGCAAAGTATTGCAACATACGTATGTTTTTAGGAAGACAAGTAGTTACAGCTCTTCCTCGGGGATTTCAGCACAAACACAGCAAACTGCTGTGGTCGCTAGTCGTTCATCTTCACCTACAGTTGTGTATGTATAATATTTTATATTTAATTATTGGTACTTTAATACATAGGAACAATACATTAATAATAGAGGATTTTTAGTGCCCTCTAGCTATTAGCGTAGCTAGGTATTTTTTCTAGGTGGGGGCCTTACGTCTTAGCAAGGCTAGCATGATGTCCGGGTTGCGAAGAATATTCTTTTGCATTAAAAAAAAGTCTTTGCTAAGGCAATATTAGCACAGGAATCCACAATCTTTGTTTATGCCAGACATGACGCTAGACCCGTCATCGGAACATCGTTCACTTGGCTTTTATTCAGTGTTTCGAAAATCAGCGTTGCCGCATGATCCTTCCTACAATTCAATCCTTCCTTTTACATCTCTGGACGTCGAACAATTAACAAAATTTTAAATTTTTCGATAAATTTAATGAAATATGCCATTATTTTTATGGTCCTCTAACATATGCTCTTTACACCTTGAGAAATGCTGGATTACAGACTCCTACTGGGCCTTTAATCATCAAAAACGCCATGGTCTTACTTACATAGGCTATCTCTAATACAATAATTATTTATATATTGTTTATATTATTTCTAGTGGTAATATGGTAAACAATGTTGCTATTGAAGAGCCGATTGAAGAAGAATGGACATATGACCCCAACGAACCAAGATACTGCATTTGCAATCAAGTGTCCTATGGTGATATGGTGGCGTGTGACAATCAAGACGTGAGTGTATTTAAAAAATATTTAGTTTTATTAGACATGTATCAAAATATCTACATTAATCAATATTTTGGTCACATTAATTAATATGCTATAATACTACTACTTAAAAGAGTATAATAGCTCTTATATGTTTGGCGTAAAAATTTTGGGTTTAATCTATATACTTAGAAATCTTTGATTCTAACGGTTAGTTGCACAAATGTCCGTTAAGGTTTAATGTCGCCTTAAACTTTAACGTATGTCAAATTTGTATGGGTAATGGCACTTTAAACTAATGACAATTTAAATGGACGTTGGTGCAACTGGCTGTAAGTGACCGCTGTAAGGTTGTCATCTGCGATTTCCACAACACAGATGCTTGCTACTCTTCTTATTTTGATTCCTTTTTTATGTTTGTGTTAATTTATTCCGAAAAGCCCTTGATTTAATTAAAATGATCAGGTAGTATTATAACGAAGGTTTAAGTTACCCAAGGATTGTAATCATAAAACCAATTTAATATATCGTCAGTCATTAAAAATACGCAAGTTAGAGTAGGATAGATTACGTAACAGTGCGCAACATCCTATTAATATTATAAAGGCGAAAGTTTGTAAGTATGGATGTATGGATGTTTGTTACTCTTTCACGAAAAAACTACTGGACGGATTTGGATAAAACTTTACAGCAATATAGGTTATACATCAGAATAACACATAGGGTACTTTTTACTGGGAAAACTTCTCACTCCCACGGGATACCGACTTCCACGCGGACGAAGTCGCGGGCGTCCACTAGTATCAGATATTTTTTTTTAATATCCGCTCATGTTATTTAGTAAGAAAGTTTTAATAATATTTTTTCAGTGTCCTTATGAATGGTTCCACTACCCATGCGTCGGCATAACCGCTCCACCGAAAGGCAAATGGTATTGTCCTCAATGTCAGAGCAACCGCCGCAATCGAGCCCACCGCAAAAATTAAGATATAAATTTTGAACTTGGTTCTGTATTACATTCACTAATTGAATATAAATATTTAAAATTGACTATTTTTGAGTAAGGTTTGCAATATTTGCCACTCAAAGGTTACATTAAAACCTATCAGACGTCAAATCAAGACGGTCCATAAAGCAAACCACATCAATCAAATTGGTTATGAACAAAATATTATATTAAAATAATTATATTAGTCATTGGATGACTCATTTGTAATCATTGTGTTACTGTAACCAGAATTGAGCTCATTTCGCTACTATTATTAATAAGTTAACAAACACATTATTGAAAAATTCGATAAATAAATATTTATCACATTCCACACAATATTTGTTTTATTGATCCTACAAACAGAATTTAAACCAGTGTTCATAGATAATATATAAATAAAAAGGGAGCCCTTTGTCGTAACCAAGAGCGAAAATTATAGTATATTGAATTAAAAAAATCTGCAAAATTATCGTACACCAGCCATTACCGACGTAATAAGGCTTAAAATCGGATAATCTGACAGATTTGTATAACCTGACGCGCTGTTGGCTGTATATACCTTATAAAGTAACTAGACATGTAAGTATTCGATACTTTTGATTTGAACCAAATAGGTACTTTTTAATATAAGACTTTTTTATGTTTACTGGGTACTGGAACTTAATAAATCATAAATATGTGAATCTTAGGTAAAAAGGATACAAACTAATTTATATCTGTTTATATCCTTTATTAGAGGAAATTTCCAGGATAATATTGTAATCTTTGGAGGACATACAGAAGATGTGCCAATTTTGCCACTCGATTAGGGTTGGGAATCATTATCTGTTCCTTAATTAATGTAAGTATCGATTTTATGGTAAGCGAATTATAACTTATCAAATACGGGGGTAAATGCTCAGTAGTCGGCCTATACAGACTTTATAATCATATAAATAGTGTGGAACTTGTACCATTGAAATGACGAAACTTTGAATCAAAAAGATGACCGGTTGATGAGCTGTATTTGTTTATTTTCACTGCCGCCAACGACATGCATGACCGAAAGCATCACCATTCTGTTTTTCTTAAGGATACGTGTTCATGATTAATATAAGTTTTTCATGAGATTGCTGTGGTTGTCTGGTGGGTTTTTATGTTTCTATTATTATAAAATGTGTGCATTATAATTTAATTAAACGTTAGAGGTATTTTATTAGTTAATTACATTATAACGCAATAGGTCGACTACTACTGAGTAGCTCGGTGGCGTAGTGGATTAGCGCCGCGGCCCGTGATCGTAGTCGTAAAGCAACTTTCACAAGGGTCGGTCACGGGATGGGTGACCAAAAAATTATTATCTCGAGCTACTCCGTGCTTCGGAAGGCACGTTAAGCCGTTGGTCCCGGCTGCATTTACAGTCGTTAATACCCTCCAATCCGCATTGGGCCAGCGTGGAGGGTCATGGCCCATCCTCCTTAACCATCCATAAGGAAGGCCTGAGCCCCTGCAGAGGGGACGTAAAAGGGCTGATGATGAGGTCGACTACTGCATATCGTTTTTTTAAGGTTGATTCAGTGCTCGGCCAGAAGCGGCGGACTACTGGTTTTATTAGAATTTTCTTTGATTTTGTTGAAATTCATACATTTGACTAATTTTGAAAAATAGTTTTGAATTATTCTTCATTACCCAATAAGAACAGTACATTAATATTGCGGAAAAAATTACTGTATATATCAATAAAAATTAAAGTTGAAGTTTAAATTTATGAAACCGCGCAAACAACGCTGTAACTGTCATACGCTGTTATTATGCCGCATATGACGTCACACGCAAGTAAATAAACCTCATCATACTAAAATCGTCAACTGAAAGCCATAATTACTAGCGTGTGATTTTATCGGAGTTGCAACAAATTACAAGACGAAAACGCCAAAAAATATTGAAATAAAAATATATAAAATGTCAAAAAATATTTGAATTTATTTTGTGGAATCTGCAAACATTTACGCTTTTAATAAATCCGCATCTTGACTGCGAGCGGATCGTAAGTGGCTAGAGCAGTGGTTCCTAACCTGAAGGTAATTACCCTCGGTTGGATGGTACATAAAGTAAACCTTCTTTTATTTACTCATGTTAGATTCCGAGTCAGGTAAAATATTATTAGTTTTTTTCTGGGTCAAGTGCTATCACATCAAAATATTAGATGTTGGTAATAGAGCGTGCACAAGTGTGTTTGTGTACTATATTATGTCCCACGCAGATGGCTAAATTATGTCAAATTTTGCCGAGATAAGAATAAGGGCAGGAGTAAGTACGTACGTAGGCAGTTATTGAAGGGTTTTTACTATATTAAATATTACAAATAACAAGACATCTCCATCCTTTTTCCCCTTTCTCGATTTGCCATCAGATCCTGGTACACCTTAAAAATAAACTTGTCTTAATTTACTTATTTTACCCCCGACGCCAAAATAGGGGTGTAGGAAGTAAAGCGCGTTTCATTCAATCATTTATGATATAATAAACTGAAGGAAAAGTAATCTTCACAATTATCATTTACACAGTACTTAAAAGATTACGAACAAAGTTTACAAATTGTTAACAAAATTATTAACGAAACCTGTTTTTTTTTCTATTAAAAAAACAGTAAAACCATACTGTTATTTACTTCTTAAGAGAGTATTTGTGTATACATTTTATCAGTCACTTACAAAAAAATGGTAGTGTGGTATACTTTTTCATTTAAAGTTCGGTTGAGGCATATCACTATTTAAGAATTTCAAAAATTTGGTAACACATTGAATGTCAATTTATATAGGGTATGTTCCGATATACACTGCGACCACTGAACAGTATGACGTCAATTTAGTATACTGGAAGCCCGTACCTTTATAGCTAGTTATACTGGTGACTTTTTAAAACGGAACGCAGTCCAGTATACTGTTAATCCTATTTTTTGACGCCATTTTCAAATTTGTTAATGCAAGGTGAATATAAATATAAAGATTCCCTCTTTTCAAAAGAAAATTGAAAATTGTATAAAAAAATATTTATCAATTAAATCCATCTTATAAATAAACGTAAGTATTTTTTTTGTTTATTTAGAAACTTATCATTTTCTGATTCTGTTTCGACTGATCACGTGATCAAAATCACTGCGAGCACCTTACCTCGAAACCTCCAGTGCTCACAGTACAAATATGGCGGCAATTTATGACGTCATGAATTTCCCTAGGGTACTGTAGCAGTGTACTGGCAGTCCATAACGGAACGGATTTTTCAGCAGTAAGACCACTGCGCAGTGCTCGCAGTGTTTATCGGAACATACCCATAGTCTCTGAGTAGGGATGTGACTTGGCTGGGGAATATTTTTAAATAAACGATTTCATTTCATTTCATTTATTCATTTGCCACTAACATGGTTAAAAAGATAACAGAGTTAATTTTTGATAAGTACATCATATTTCACCTATTACTAAGAATGCAAATTTATATAGTCTTGTTATACTATTATTGAATTTACAATGTCAAATGTATAATATAGATCAGTATGTCTAATAATTATAATTTCAAGTGTCAGGATTAAATATCAGATACATATTGTTGACATAATAATAATAAATCACAATTGAAGTATATTTTTTAGCAAGCAAATCGATCATAATATGTTTAATTTTCGTAAAATTATTTTTATTTGGCAAATATTAGCATAGCCTTGGAATAGAATTGATTTAAAAAGTGGTAATTTCGTACAATAGTACCGGTTAAAAATATTATTCGAGGTAGCGAAAATATGTTTTTTAGAATATCTCAAGTCCTATTGCTTGGAGGTGAATAAAGTATATAAAAATGTATTGTATTTTTCTGTAAAATTAACCGCTTTTGAAGTAGAAATCGTACAACACATATAAAATATGACACACATCTACATTTCTCAAATCCTACAATCCCAATTGGCCATGGGGGTTATACAAAATAATAATAATCATGTTGAAAAGTCTATGTGGCACTAATCAAGGCGGTGCATGGAAGAGATTTTAGAAAATACAAACACTGACTTCTTTATTCTTTATATATATTGTTTTATAATGTTTTATTAGCACTCTTAACAATCGGTAACTTTTTCAGGTCACAACTTGTCTTCAGGCCACACCCAAACAACTACCATTCACGGCCACCATACTACCTCACATGGTCATACCAACTCTTCATCATCAAACAAAAGACAAAAGCAAAAGTAAGTAATTATATTTATTATGTCATCTACTGAAAAACTAACTACATATTGTCTTTGAAGTTTTAACACCACATACGTCAAAAACAGTGTTACCAACTCCCAACAAAATAAAACCCTAAAACCAAACTCAAATAACCCCGAATGGTGTAATCCAAAACCCCTAAAAAAGCTTGTATACTTAAAAATAAATCTTCATTTAATTTTATAGGTTCTACTTCGTCAATTTGGAAAATAACATTCAGTTGAATAACTTTTTTCTATTCATTTCTTAAAAATAACAACAACGCTTTATACGGTAGACATTTTATAATATTATGAAGCTGCTCTGCCATATAACATTTGTCCTGCGACTGAGCAAGTGAAAACAATAATTTTTGCTCATCCCATTGTTCTATAATCATGCTGATAGCTTCGAAAACCATGACACGAAATTAAAACTAAGAAAATGCAAATAGATTAGAAATGTCATATTGAAGCCATAGAAATATGCATAGATAGCCCACAGACATACACACGTCCAGCTAAACATTTGCTTCTATACATATAATGCACAATAGGGATGATGACTAATTTTTGTTTGTTTGTCCGTCAGGTAGAGTGTTAAAAAATACTAAACACGTATTTTTTTATTTTATTCGTAATCATAAAATAACGGCGTAACATGGAGTTGAAATTTCGCATGACGTCACGTTAGAGTACATTTTCTACTCAACTGTGACGTAGCGAGCTCCCACTCCTCAACTTTAATGCTTGTTATCTAAGCTATTTCTTGTTAA